AAAAAAAAAAAAAAAAAAAAGTATTTCTAGTGTCCATGTGAGCACATCTGTAGCTCTGGGTGTGTCTGATCCCCCTGGAGTGGGTTTGAGATCATCATGGGATATGTCTGAAGTCTCCCTGGGTGTGCTTGAGAGACCCTGTGGTGCATCCCGGCCTCTCTGAGTAATGTCCAGGGCCCCTGGGGTGTACTTGGGGCCCCCTGGAGTGCTGTCTGGGCTTCTTGATGTGGGTCCGGGCTTCCTGAGGTGGGTTTGGGGCCCTGGGGGGTGGGTCCAGGACTCAGAGGTGTTGTCTGGAGTCCCAGGGTTGTGGTGGGGGAAGGCGCTGAGTTGAATCCAGACCCCAAAGGGCTTGCAGTGCCCTTCCCGCCCCTGCGCGCTGGGCTGGCCCTGACCGGTTCTCCTCGGGGACGTGCAGTGCCATCATGGTCAGCGGCTCCTGGCACTGCACGGCCCAGCCCAGCCGTTCGCCGGCGCGCCGTGTCTCCACCTGCAGGAAGCGGTTGGGCATGCGGCTCCAGGAGACGGGCATCAGCATCTGCATCTCCAGCCGCGGAGGGCACTGAGGGGCTGGGTTCTTTCGCTCGCTCAGGAACATGGCGGCTGACAGCGGCATGATGTTCTTGGGGGCACAAAGGCACATGTGGGTCAGAGTTCCCAGCCTCCCTTTCCCACCACCTCCCAGGTCTCCCTGGTTCTAGGGAGACCTCCCAGATGGCTTCCTCCCCTTCAGCCGCTCTGCCAGCCTGACCTCCCACACCTCCTGTCTCGGGCTGCCCCCATTAGTGCCCCCATCACTGCCCTCTTACCTTCTGCTTTCCCAGCTCAAACTGGACGACATTCTGGTGGCTGGGCAGGACAAAGATGGCAGGAAACAGCTTTGTGTTGGGTTCCACCTGGCAGGGGAGAAGAGGGCAAGGTGAGGAAGAGGGTGAGCTGGAGGTAGGTTGTATTGATTCTGGACCTCAAACTGTGGGGCCAATCCTGCCGATCCACACTTGGTCATTAGAGGCCCCCAGTGGCTCTGAGGTCACTCTTGGGCTGCACCACCTCTGATCCAGCCAGGCCAGCCTCCTCCGGCTCCTCCAGGACCACCTGTCATCTGGATCTTTGCACACAGCATGCCCCCACCAGGAATGCCTTTCCCATTTCTCTCCCAAGCATACTCATTCTTTAAAACCCAGAAAGAGTCCTCTGACTGCCTTCCTTCCCTCCCATCTTCCCAGCGGAACTCACCCAGCCAGCCCCACCACCACAAACAACACCATCTCTGACGCAGTCTTGCCAAAACCAAACCTGAATCTATCACATCCCTGTACCCAACTCCCAGTTTACAGGAAATACAGGAGAAAGAGGAAAAGGTTAAAATGACACCACAGGGAAGCATCAGCCAGATCCAGACTGTGGGAAATTAGGCCAGCCCTCTCCAGATGTTAATGGGCACACAAATCCCCTGGGATCTTGTTAAAATGCACACTTTGACTCATCAGGTCAGGGGAGTGGCCTGTGATTCTGTGTTTCTAACAAGCTACCAGGTGATGCTGGTCCTGCTGCTCCAGGGACCACACTTTGAGGAGCAAAGCACTACAGGACAGCCTGGTTCCTTCAACAAATACATTTCAAAGACAAAATAAAAAGAGAGATGGGGCGGGGTGGGGGGGAAGCTATACATGAAAAAGAAACTCAAGAGACATAGCAACCGGGCCGGCCCGTGGCTCACTCGGGAGAGTGCGGTGCTGATAACACCAAGGCCCCGGGTTCGGATCCCATATAGGGATGGCCGGTTCGCTCACTGGCTGAGCGTGGTGCTGACAACACCAAGCCAAGGGTTAAGATCCCCTTACCGGTCATCTTTAAAAAAAAAAAAAAAAAGAGAGACATAGCAACCAATTAAAATATATAACCTTACTTAGATTCTAATTCCAACAAAGAAATGGTAAAAAGACATTTTTGAGATAACCAGAGAAATTGGAACACTAACTGGTTATTTGATGATATTTAGGAACTATTGTGGTTTTTTTGTTTGTTGGTTTTGGGTTTTTTAGGTGATAGGGGTATTGTGGTTATGCTATTTTTTTTTTTTTTAAAGATGACCGGTAAGGGGATCTCAACCCTTGGCTTGGTGTTGTCAGCACCACGCTCAGCCAGTGAGCGAACCGGCCATCCCTATATGGGATCCAAACCCGGGGCCTTGGTGTTATCAGCACCGCACTCTCCCGAGTGAGCCATGGGCCGGCCCGTGGTTATGCTTTTTAAATTAATCCTTACCTTTTTTTTTTCCTTTGGTGGCTGGCCAGTACGGGATCAAACCCTGGACCTTGGTGTTATCAGCACCAAGCTCTAACCAACTGAGCTAACTGGCCAGCCCCAATCCTTATCGTTTAATGACACATAATGAAAAGAGATGAAACTATATGATGTCTGCAATTTCCTTAAATCGTGCAGTGGGTGTGGAAAGGAAGCAGGTGTAAGGATGAAACGAGACGGGCTGTTAGTAGGTAATAGTTGAAGCTGTGTAATGGGGACGTGGCAGTTCATTATGCTATTCCATTTTTGTATATTTTTGAAATTCCCCATTTAAAATTAAGTTTTACAAGACCCACCTTAGGTGGATTAGTGGATAAAGATGTGATAAAGCCAGTGTAGTAAAATATTGATGGTAGATTCTTGATAGTAGATATACGGGTGTTTACTGTATAATTCCTTCAATTCTGCTGTATGCTTGAAAATTTTCATAATAAAATGTTGAAAAGAAAAAGCCTGGGCCGGCCCGTGGCTCACTCGGGAGAGTGCGGTGCTGACAACACCAAGTCAAGGGTTAAGATCCCCTTACCGGTCATCTTTATAAAAAAAAAAAGAAAAGAAAAGAAAAGAAAAAGCCCGCGCCGGCCCGTGGCTCACTCGGGTGAGCGTGGTGCTGACAACACCAAGTCAAGGGTTAAGATCCCCTTACCGGTCATCTTTATAAAAAAAAAAAGAAAAGAAAAGAAAAGAAAAAGCCCACCTTAGGATTCTGGCTCATCCTAGGGGTTCCCTGATTGCTGAGAGGGTGGTGACTGATGTCACCCAGACCAAGAGGGAATACAGATCTTTCTCTGAGGCCAAAGTTGTGCTCAGCCTCCTTCATTCTGGGCCTCAGGTTAATGGAAGGTTCAACTAGGTGGTCTCTCAGGGACCTCCGAAGGATAGACTAGAAGCTGTTTTTGTCCTGGGGAGGGGGTCCTGGAAGGGTTGTCCTGGGATGCTGGGACATGAGGACGCTATTGCTAAGTTGCTGAGGGCTCGACTCACCTGGAAAAAGGTGTTGCTCTCTTTGCCATTGGCTGTAAAGGTCATCAAGCCAGTGGCTAAGTCCACCAGGCAGCCAATGACAAGATCCGTGTGGCTGATCCGGCCCTGCTGCCCAGGGCTCACGAAGTCCCCACCCCACACCATGTAGCAGTTGCTGCACTTGAGGCTGGAGGAGACAGGAAAGGTTACTGCATGGATCCTCAGCCGAGGAGGAACCTGGACACCCCCTTCCCTGAGATCCCAGAACACCACAACCTCAGAGCCCCATCCCCCTCCACCTGCGGAACTGAGCACTGCAACCCCGCACCCCAGACCCTGAGCCCCTCACAGCTAGAATTCTTAGAGGTTGATGGGGGTCCTGGAAGGAGGAGAAGGAAGGGGAGCAGAAGGAGAGAGAAGAGAAAGGGGTAATGTAGAAGGTGGCAGGTTACTTCAAAAAGTTCGTGGGAAAAAAAAAGGTGGAGG